AAGATTCTGGAGGCAAGAAAAACTGGAACTACTAACTTGAAAAAGACTCATTTGCTTTACCCTGTCACAAAGGACACCAGGACACAGTTGGGAATGGAGGAACTGTGTGCTCCCTAGAGGTTCTTACTTTCAGGGCTCTTGACTGTGTTCTCTGTAATGTAGCTAACTCTTCTGCCTCCCCTGTAAAACCTTAAATAAAGTCAGCATCACTGATAATACCTTGTAACCTAAAGTTGATGTAAGGGTGTGGGGTAATTAAGAAACTGTAATGAAGGCTGTTTATGAGGCAGGCAGGTAGTTATATCTGGTCCACCCAAAGGCGGCTGTGAATGTTTCCTAGTTTAGGCATTTAATTATGGAGGGCAGTAAATTGTTTTCCTTATGATCTATATTATATCTTGCAAAGTCTCAGGTCTTGAATGTAGATCCCAGGAGGGCTAAGAAACAAAGTGTGGGAGACTCTGTGATTATGTTGGCTTATATATGACTTAGTCAGATCAAAAGCAAACTTCCATTGCCCCTTGCTTGAAGGGCACAGGGTAGTATTGACATCCCACTCTTGACAACAGTAGACAAAGAAACGAGCATCAAGGACCAAAGCAGACAAGGGCTGTGCTGGCTCGAACGCTCAGTTGCATATCTCCCCAGTCCTGAAAGCTTCACCTTGGCAACCTTTGTGCACATGAAACCAGCAAGGTGGCCATATTCTCATACAGAATTCTGGAGTGGGAAAACCTACCTACCAAGAGATTGAAAAGCATGTGCCAGAGGGATAGCATGCCAAGGCTAAATAAATTTGAACGTGCTCACCACACTGAAAACTCCATGGCCATCAAACTAAACATGGAGCCAAAAGGCCATACCCTCCCAAGCTCTGATCATTTTCTGAGTCTCTCCCTCCCCTCACTCCATGTGAGGCTGAGAATCCCTCTCAAACCTTTTCATGTGCTAAGTCAAGTGCTCAATAGGATAGGCCTACTACATGAGGCTCAACTAATTATTTTTCCTCATCTTTTAAAATATATGCTAGGAATAATTTCTTCTTTCTCACAGATTCTCAGTTCTCTTGCAGCTTTGCAGACTTTCATTAGCCACTCTTTCAAGATGCCTCTGTAAAGGCATTTATTTTTATATAAAGAAACAAATAACGGGAGAAAGTGGCAAAGTAAAGCTCTATCAACATCAGCTGAAAACATCTTACCTAAGGAGACGCCATGCCAGCCCTTGTCATTTCTCACGGCACTCTTAAAAATATCTCTGCTCAGACAGAGCCTTAGTGCTTCCCTGTTGCCTTCTGGCCACTCCTGTGAACTTCGTGAATTCTGTGCTTGGCAGCGGTTTTGTTTTCCTTGGAAGGCAGCGTTGTGCAACATACTGTTAGCTGAAGGCCGTGATGCAGAAATTTATTATTGCGAATAGGATGGAAAGAAGCAGGAATTTATTTTGTAACGACGAAAATGACTCAGTGTCAAAAGACCGGGATGTTCTGAATGCTTCCTGTGACAAGCTTGTCTCTCTTGAAGAACATGTAGTTTGTCCACCAGGAATAAATTTAAATATCTTTATTTTGCTCTTCTTGGTTCATGAAAACTGAAAAAAGACACAAGGGACCGCGCCCCTGCCACCCCCCACCCCCACCCCGTGCCCTGTCTCTCTCTCAAGACTTCTTCATCCTATGGAAAGATTTTTGCCTGTCATGTGTAAGGTTATCTTTGGTGATCTATATGCCCTCAAACCTTCTGGTAAGATACTTATCAAGTGTCACTTCTCCAAGGAGAAATCACAGTGAATAGCCAGGGAAAAATGTGTTAATAGATGGTGACAAATAGACAGTTTTCTCCTTCTGAGTTAAGTAGCTGTGTAGTTTTTAATTAGAGCATGCGTGCCTCCCCAGACCTTATGTATTTTCCAGGGCTCATCTCTCTTTCTCTCTCTTATATTTAAGACATCATAAAGTCATACACACTGCTCTCAACAAAGGACTATCTCAAAAGGAGTTAATACTTTCAGATAGGTTTTCCAGAGTTGCTTAGGTGCCCTGCTGCTATTCATTTATCTCAAAGATTTAGTCCATATGGGATAGATTGAACGAAGAAAACTGTCCAGTTTCTACTTCTGTTCCTTGTTGTCCTTGGCCCATGAATGTTTTCTTTTTTTTAATAAATCTAATCCCCTGACAGCTTTGATCATCTGTGAGGTAGCACTGTGAGGTAGCACTAAATCTATCAGATTGATCAAAAGCGTATCTGGCTTTCTTGTTGATAGAATAACAATAGTTTGTACTTCACTCAGAAGTTCATGGGCTTCCGTATGCATACTGCCTTCCTTTTTACTTACAATCACCAGCCTAGACAGTTGGCTGCAGAACTTCTAAGCACTTTCTAAAACCCTTTGCCTTGTGGTTCTGTTTTTCTAGGAATATTTGCCACAGCTTCTGTATTATAAACAATCACAAAAAATATTGTAATAAGCCCCATACATTCAACACTGAAATAATAAATGATAATTTAAGCTCAAATCATTTTTATTAAAAATAGAATTTAAGGGTAAAAGCCTTAAATTCATCAGGGGAAACATCCAGTTATTTTTCTTTGATGCCCTCCTTATTAAGAACATTTCTTTATCTCATTTAACAAATTCAGAGTTAATTGCTTTTCATTTACATTTTGCATATGCTATAGAAATCACATGTAACTTTTGATGACATTGAAAATAGTAGCAGTAGTCTACATTAAAAAAATTATACCACAGTCTTGGGCTGGTGAGATGGCTCAGCAGCTAACCAGTATTCTTGTAAAGGACGTGACTATGACTCCTAGCACACACAGGCAGTTGACAACCGTCTGTAAATAATGTTCCAGGGGATCTGATGTCCTCCCTCCTCCCTATGCTGGCCCCTACAGGCTTCTGTATGTACATGGTGTGCATAAACTAATGCAGGCACACACACACACACACACACACACTAAAAATAAATAAATCTTAATGCAAACAAACCACATTCTTGGTCAGCTCATATCTTTCAAATGAAATGAGTCATATATTCATAATAGAATAAAATAGAATTCATTTACACTAATGCTGTCTAATCAGTTTATGATTTGATGCTGAGAAATTCTTGTCTCTGATAGGTAACACACTTGACAAATTTTGGCAAATTTGGCAAATTATACCGCTTATTTTAAGCCAAATTGAGACAGTGAGTTTTTGCAGTATTCCTAAAAACTGTGATTACAAAGAATTGAGTTGATCTTGAATTGATCTTCCGTTCTGTAATACATGATGACTCAAATCAGTATACATTAGAAATAACATTACTCTTGGGTTTAAAACATCAACGTAAGTAAGATATTAGTGACAGGGAGAGGAGAAACATCATGGTTTTCTTTCTGGTCTGAGAAAATCATTGCCTTCTTGACCAGATGTCACAGGCAAATATTCTCTCTTTAATGCATGGAATATGTATTATAATTTTCATTTAGATAATGAATTGACCTGTTTACTATGATAGCCATGTAGCAGACTTTGCCAGGTTATTCTCACTCTGTGACATGAAATCATTATTAGGGAAAGTGATGATCATAGGAGCCAGCCTCCTATCCAAGTATTCTTTCTCAAACACTCTACCAAATCATTTGACCACCAGCTTAGAGCTCACGTCATCATGCCACTGGGTTCTGTGCAGAGGTCCTCTCCTTCCTGCTCTTAGTATGAGCCAATCCCAAAGCCACAAAGAGGCTGACAATTGAAATGTGTCAAGAATTGTTTTTGATAGTTCTAGAGAATAAATAATTAAAAGCTCTAATTTAAATATTTATAAACCATATTAATTTTTGACTGATTGATTAGTATTGTGAACCTCATCAGCTTTAAATTAGAATTAATGAGCATTTACCAGAAAAGGCAGTACCCATAAATCAAAAATTTAAAATTAAAGCATAAAGAAATATGAACTGTGTGAACATTTAATTTTGCATAATGGTTAGTTGGATCATTTTGCCCAAATCATGTGTAAGCCAAACTATAATTAAATCATTGCAGTGGCTCTGCTGAATACGATGGCCAGCTATGACTTGTAAGATGAGTAGCATAAATTATTACCTTAGTTTATTTTTGCCTTATCATGTCACAATGGTTTCTCATTCAATTTTTGTTAAAGATTTTGAAGTCAAATTATAATTTCCCTCTGTATTTTTCTCATACCTACTGGCTGATTTTGTCTTATGTTGGATAACAGATTTTAATATACTGTTACTGGAGTTTTATATTTTGGTTTACTTAGTTCAAACAGTATGCCTTTTTAAGACTTATTTTTATTTCTGTTTTATGTATATGGGTATTTTTTTCTGCATGTATGTCTATGCACCATGTGTATGTCTGGTGTCCTTCGATGTCCATCAAAACCCCTGGAACTAGCATTTAGGACAGTTGGTTACAAGCATATAGGTGCTAGAACAGAATCTGGGTACTTCTTAAGAGGAACGAGAGCTCTTAACCAATGAGCCATCTCTCTAGCCTTAAAACGATATAAAATGTTAAGGACAATGGTTTTGTATAGTTATATATACATGTATAGTTTAAAATTACTAAAAATAAAAGTAGCCTTCTGCTTCCTCTTGCTGACAGCGCAACACACAGCCCCACTGAACAACTTACGCTGTTTATTTCTCTGGGTAACCACAGGCTTACTGACATGAAAGTGAAGCTTTGCACAATTTGACATGTGTCTAGAATTTCCCCGGCAAAGAAGGGTAAAGCCATGCACAGCAGATTCTTCCTACCAAAGCTGTCCGGGTACCGTTGTTACCCGTAGAGTTCGGAATACCAGTTATCAGGACAGTTGATTCCTTCATGTTAATTTACTCATGATGTCTACTCAATACTCTTACTATTAGAACACAGATGTTAGCTGCTTAATTATTCTTTCGAAGCAAGAATAAAAATGTTGGTGACATAAAATATGCATATGATTTACCATAATTACCCTCTTGTCTTCACAGCTTATGGGTCATTCAGAATGGGACCACAAAAGAGGGCCACGAGGATCCCAGGTAAATATCTTCTCCTTCACTTTTTCAGGTTCCGTTTCTTAATGTTTTGAAGAATGAGATCCTGTGAAATTCAAGAAATAATAATCAGCAGAGAGAGAGGAAGAGGCAAAACAACATGCCATTTGTTTTTATTTAAGTTAGCTGTAATTAAAGCCTGGATTTCAAGACCCACAGGCAGATGTCAGTCTTTTCCTCCTGAGACATTTCTGGTTTCCCAGATTGCTTGGTGTTATGTGAATGTGAACTTTATATTCATCTTGACTCTACAGGACACATTTTGATCAACAGCCCACTCTCTTGATTTCATTCACTTCCTTTGACAATTTTCCATGTATTTTCTTTATCCCCTCCTCTATTTTCCTGTTTCTGGTTAAATATTCTGAAATATAATCATGGGTAAACTATGAACTAATTAGAAGATTTTGTCTCTAAATTAATTGTCTTTGTCTAAGGAAAAAGAAAGATGAAAGGACCTATTATTTTTGAAAAGAAACAAATTCTCGACCTTTCTATATTACCAGACTGTTTTCATTGTCTCATTTTATGTCTTATGCAAAAGGAAAAGCTTCCATGACGCATTTATGTTTTTTAATGACCTAATTAGACAATGTGGATATGTTTTTTTCCATAATTACATTGCCTGACTGAATAAAGGCTGTGTTTCACACTCAGAATATTCCTTTTCCTCCAAGTATGTTTTGTAAAAATGTAGGAAAATATTTTTATAACAGCCTTTATTTACCTGACTGTAAACATGACCCCCATGACTCCCTTCCAAAAATAAACATATATATATATATATATATATATATATATGGGTTGAAATTCTTAACTCTGGATTCACGTATGTGAATGTGTTGTGTATTTATGTGTTTCGTTGTCAAATGTGAGCTGCTACTGAACATAATTTTATAGCTATGCGTGCCTGTGTCACTACTGTGTGTGTGGATAACTGTTTGTGACCCTCACCGAGAAAATGAAGTCAAGCCAATGGATGCTTTCTATTCTGCTCTTAGAAGCTGTGATTTTTTTTGAAACTTCAACCCATGCTTATTCATTATTTTTAAAAAACAAATCTTCTATTAATTATTTCTATTAAGCTATTTAGGTAAAATATCTTACTGAGTGTACAGTCTTAAATAGCAGTGATGGAGTTGGAGCTAAAAATTGAGATTATAATGTGAGTCCGTTTTCAGAGGAGCTGTGACCTTTTTGTCTGAATAACTAATATAAACAAATTCCTTTGAATCCGGATTATCCCAAACACTGTGTCTTTTTTCTCATCTTCCATTTTCTCTGGTACTTTTCTCTCTGTTCACATCTATAATATCTTAAGTCACAATTTCCTGCAAAATTCCTGTGGGTAATGTGTTGTTGAGATGAACAGAATAAATTATGATTTCAAACCAACAATAAAATAAACAGTCCAGGACTGAAATACAGCTTAGTGATTAAGAGAAATAACAAGTCTTGCAGAGGACCAGAATTTGGTCCCTAGCACCCACACTGGGTGAATCAAACAATCCCTGTAACTCCAGCTCCAGGACATCTGATGTCTCTGGGCCCAGGGTCACTCCACACATAAATGTGCACACATACACATAACTACAAATTAAAAAGATTTATTAGAATAGTTAATAAGTAAATCACATAAATAAGTCCACAGTTTCTGCTTATTACTCTCCAAATGCTTTGATGTTCATAATAGCCAAGTAACTCTTGAAGACATGTACTGTCAAAAGAATATATAGTAAAATATCTACATATATTCTTTAAAACTGTGCTTCTCTATGGTCCACTGTAGTGTAATTTATATTTTATCATGCACAGCAAGGGCTTTTTTGCCTTTCAGCCAGAAGAGTAATTCCTCTCAATAATGTATACATTCATCCCACTTTGATTGTTCAAGTTAAATGAAAATCGTCAAAGTAAAAATGCCCACTAAGAAGTAATATCAGTTAATGGTGAATCTTTTATCCTTCAGAAATCCCAGAAAGATAAAGGAAGCACTAGGTAGCATCCCTGACCTAATTCTAATTTTCTTTCTACATTACTACCATAAAATCCCAACATGTTGGGTAGAGCATTAATCCCTTTTTCTCTTACTGTCCTTTGAAAAACAGTACATTGTGAAACAGTTCAGCCTTTCAAAGGGAATTCCAAGCGTGCTTCATCTGAAAGCCTCTCCTTTAATAGTTTACTAATATTCGGAGACCTTGGTAAAGAATCATCTCAGTTTGGTTTAATTTAGAATGGTTTGTAAGCCCTTACTCTAAGTAAATGTGGTTATGGCTTGAAATAGAGAAATTGTCGGGGTATGGAGAGATGGCTCAGTGGTTGCTGTTCTTACAGAGGACCCATTCCTAGTATTCATGTTAGGTGGCTTATAACCGCCTGTAAGTTCAGCTACAAAACATCTGAAACTCCTGGTCTTGTAGAACCTGATACACATGGGCATACTCCACCTCCATAGACCCATTAATCATATACTTTACTAAAAATAATAAAATAAATATTGGAAATAGATAAAGCAATTTTCCTATTTGTAACTCCCACATATGGCCTTTGGTAGAAAAATAAACCCTGGTAAATAAACAAAATGCAATAGGATTTTGGTAGTTCTTTCTGTCTAGTAGAATGAGTACTACTTAATAGAAACGGTACCAGAGCTTTAGATGTTATGCAAGCCTCTGGAGGTGTATAGTGGGGACAATGAAAGCATTTGAGTAGCGGTCTGAACTGGGACATATCTGGGTGTATGTAAGTTTCATGTCTGGCACCTCTTTAAAACCTATTGGGTAAGCATGTTACAGGAAACTTGATGTAAGTGTCACACAGTATTCATGGGATGGATACTGTCACAGGGCTGAGACGGAGAATGCCGTATGATGTTGATGAGATTGTAGGGGAGATGTAAGGAAGGCCAAGAGTTTGAGTATTGGGAGATTCTGTGCCATAAACAGAAGCCTTCAAAGGGAAAACGGGAACTTCAGGGCGAGCGCTGGCAAATGAGGGGCCTGGGTGGTAATTGCAGAAGTAAGCTTCACACGAATGTTTTTTTTTCTTTAAAAAAAATTAAAATTTATTTTACATGCCAATCACATTCTCCTCTCCTTCCTCTCCTCCCATTCCCTCCCCCTCCCTCATTTCTACCCCTTCCATGAACTCCTGAGAAAGGGTAAGGCCTCCCATGGGGAGTCAAAGGGACCTTTCTAGCTGCACTGTGGTCAGAAGAGAGGAAATCTCAAACTGGAAATGCCAGTTGCACATGTGGCAGTTTAACTACAGCAGCAGATAGACTCCCAGAAGAATAGTTGAAAAGAAAAACAGGAGAGAGGCTGCTTCTTGGGAATTACTCCCTGGTAGAACTGAGAGGAGGCCAGAGGGGGGAGGTGCTGTGTGCACATGGTCTCAGAAATCAGCAAAGAGAAAAAAATGAGATAACTAAACAGTATCATCAGGGAAAAGAAGGCTGAGACCCCAGACTCAGGGAAATGAGAATCATGGGAAATACCTCTGGGTGGACCACTAAGCCACTAGTGAGCGTGAGCAAAGTTCTTTTCATAAAGAAGTGTGGTAGAAACAAGAATCCAGGAGTTGATCCAAGATTACGGTAAAATGGAAAAGCTCTATTCAAAGAAAGGGAGGACTGGAGAGGGGCAGCCATAGGAGGGAGTGAAATGCTGAGTATTCTTAGTTATCAGCAGACACAATGTGGAAGAAAACAGGCTGAAGCAACTCCACTAGCTGCTGCCTAATGATGTGCAAAGTGCTGTCACGGGACAAAAGGCAGCTTTGCTCAGAGGGCTCCCTCTGGCTTCTGCGTGTAAGGTTTTCTTTCATGCAGTCCACCTCCTCCTCCCACTCTGTCCCGGTCATTTACTCCAGACCAACAGAACTGATTATGTTCTCAGATAAACAGGATAGTGGAGAACCCCCTCCCCAGATCACAAGCACATATGGAAAAGGCTTTGAAACAGTAATAAGATACTTGTACCACAGCTAGGGAAGAAATGGGACCAATCATACAAAATGGTAAGTAGGCTGCCAACCTAAGGTCTTTACCTTCTCTTGGTAGGCAGGGTGCCTGCATGCCTGCGCGTGCGCTCGCGCGCTCGCGTTTGTGCGTGCATGCGTGCGTGTGTGTGTGTGTGTGTGTGTGTGTGTGTGTGTGTGTGTGTGAGATCTTCAATGGTGGAATGAATGTTGTAGATATCTAAAGAAAGGTTGATCTGAGCTGTGAACATCAAGGAAACTTAACTAAAGCAGGGGTAACCGCTCATACCGGTTACCCCAGCATTGAGAAGTGTGAGACAAAGTGTTTGAGGGGCAACTTGAGCTTTAGGGCAAGATCTTATCTTAATAATTAATTAATTAGTTGGTAGGTAGCCTATCACAAACTGTAGAGCTGTCTTATTAGCAGTGCATAGTGTTCTGAACGTTAAATTCTCCTGGGTTTATCCGAAGCCAAATATGGCAGGGCGAGGAAAGGCTCAGTAACTGACAGTGCACGCCACTCTTGCAGAGGACCCAGTTTTGGTCCCCATCACACAGGTGGTAACTTACTCTCTCTGCGTCTCCAGTCCTAGGAAATCTCATGCCCTCTTCTGATCTCCATGGGTACCAGGCACACAGACTGTCCATGCATATATGGAGACAAACCCTCTCTAATGCCTTCCTCTGCCCTTTGTTGGTACAAGTCACACAAATGGTGCTTACATACATGGAGACAAACACTCAAGCATGTAAAATAAAAGCTAACAAATCCCTTTTTTAAAAATAGGATAACATAAATACGGAGGATAACGAGATGGCTTAACTGGTACAGTACCTACTTCCAAACTTGATGGTAACTTTGGTTCAGTACCCAGAAGTTACATGCTAGAGGAAAAAGTTCCTACATGTGGCCCTCTGGCCCATGCATGTGAACAAACATACACACAATAAATACATGTATTTTTAAAGGGAACACATGAATATATCTCAGGTAATTTTTTAAC